AGTTCCCTGCCAGTGTTTCACCTGATGGTTTTAGCAGTCACTGATGCTAGCCTAGACCCATTATTTTATTAAGTTTTGCAAAATGGTGATATTATAATTCTGTTAATCCTTCTGCATTTATTAGCTTCAAATTCTTGTGTAAAGAAAAACTATTTGTTTGCCCAGAGGTACATTTCCTACAGGAAAGAGAATAAATGCTTGGTTCATTCCCTTTGTTTAGCGGTTTTCGGAATAATGAATTCAGCTCCCAAGCAGCCTCTAAAGGTTACAAATGAGTTTGTTGGTCTTTTTTAACCCTATTATGAATTCTTCGATGCCTAGCTCCAAAGTTATTTCCCCTAGTTTTTTTACCCTGACTGAAAAGAAATTTCTCCCTTCTGAATTTAAGCACATCTTTTCTAACGGTATCCAGGGCTTTCTACCACTTTCTTCTTTATCTTCCACTGGATTAGGAACTCCTTGACAGCATTCTGCACAGCACTTAACATAATGCCTCAGGCAGTGTTTCTCAAACTTCACAGTGCCTTAATTTGAATCCTATGGGGAGCTGCAGTGGAGAAGGGAGCAGAGTCTTTGTTAAAATGCATATTCTGATTCACTGGCTCTGGGATGGGCTGAAATTCTGCCTTTGAGTCATTTTAGTTGTGTCCGATTCTGTGAGACCCTATCGGCTGCAGCCTACCAGGCTCCTCTGTCCGTGGGATTCTCCAGGCAAGAATACTGAAGTGGGTTGCTGTGCCCTCTTCCCAGGGATCTTCTTGACTCAGGGATCAAACCCTGCAGATGTCTCTTGCAACTATCTTCATTGGCAGGTGGGTTCTTTACCGCTTGTGCCACCTGGGAAGTCCTACTTTATACATACAAGAGCTACCATCGTTTTTTTTTTAACATTCTATTCCCTGCTCTGCCACTTTCTCTTTCCATTTTACTATATCTTAGAGATTATTCTATATTTCAACATATATTTCTGCATCCTATTAATGAGTATCATAATGTCCACACAGAATGCATTTGCTGTTTCTATGAAATGTAGAGTGAAATGGCTTAGCTTCTTCCTTATCCTACACATTCCCCAGAGAGAACAGGTATCATGTTTTCTGTCCTTTGAATCCTCTAAATTATCTCACCCATGTTGGTCCATCTTTGGCAATTTCATTTGATCTAGAGTACATACATCATGCATTTACAAAAGCATGTCTGCATTTTTTTTTTACCTTCAGAGTCCAATCTTCCTAGATTCATAAACTGTTTCTTAACTCTGTAACCCCTCAGTACTCACAGATTACTGTTGTGTTAATAAAATATTGAGTTGTCCAAAAAGTTCGTTTGGGTTTTTCCATGCCATCCTTGGGAAACCCTGAACGAACTTTTCAGTCAACTCAATGTTATTGTGCAATACTAAATACATAAATGTGTGTTATTGGTGGGGTTCAGTATGCACTATCCCCAAATACACTACCTTAGCATATTGAATATTTCAAGCTGAAGAAATCCAAGAAAATATATGCAGGAACGACTCTCTGACCTTCCCTAGAAGCAAGTCACAAGACCCTCATGTGTGAAGCAGGTCACAAGACCCTCATGTGTGAAGCAGGTCACAAGACCCTCATGTGTGAAGCAGGTCACAAGACCCTCATGTGTGAAGCAGGTCACAAGACCTTCATGTGCCCTCCGTCCACCCAACGGAAAAGGTCATGCTTGCCTCCAAGATGGAGGGACCCCCAAGAGGAATATTATTGAACACACCTAAGTTTCCCCAGTTTACTGAGCTCATATCCCATTTGTCCTATCCCATTTCACCATGACTTCCCTCTCTTCATCAAACCTAGCACAAAAATAGACAAACCTGACTGCTTCTTCAGCCTTTCACTTATTTGTGAAGGCTCCCATGTCACATAAAACTTACACTAGGTAAATTTGTATGCTTTTCTTCTGTTAATGTGTCTTTTGTTGCAGATACCCAGTCAAGAACCTGAAAGAGTAGAAGGAAAAGATTTATTTTTCCTCCCCTCCAGTATATTTAAGGAAAAAATAAAAACATTAATAATAGAAGCCTCTGTCACTTCCTACTGCCTCCATGTATCCCTTCCCTGTCACATGATGGTCTCTCTACCTACGAGATAACTACTATCCTGAATTTTGCATTAATCATTCTCCAGTATTCCTTTCTCAGTGGTTCTCAAGCCATTAGAATCACCTAAAGAGCTTGTTTAAACATGAATTTCTGGGTTCCACTCCAAGTTTCTGATATAGTAGATCTGGGGCAAGGCCCAAGAATCTGTGCTTCTTGTAAATTCTCATGTGGTGCGGATGCTGCTGATCCCAGGCCTACACTTTGAGAACTACTTTATCTCAAAGATACTCCTGCCTTCTACGTAATGACAATTTGTCTCCTTCCCTAAAACCTGCTCACTCAATAAATATAGCTTAAAGACTTCCCCTTCTTCTTCCTCTCCTCCATTTCCTGTCACCCAATTTGTGAGCGTTCCATCTTTGCTAAGTATTTTAATTGACTGTGGCATTTGACCAGTTTTCCATTTTTTCTTTTCCATTAATGATCCTGTTTATAAGTTGCTTCTTGTTTGTGTGTGTATGTCAACTAGAAGAACAGGTATAAGCAACATTTACATGTCTTAGTCATCTAGACTTTAAGCTCCTTGGAAGCAGGAACCAAGTAAAGGCGTTCAGAACATGCCATGTTAAAATATTCTGCTTTGATGATTAATTATTGATTATTTTGAGCTGAGGACACTTATTAAACAGCAGATAACAGGAAGGGCTCTCTGACATCCCCCATACACACCTAAAAGTGAGTTGTAAATTTTTCCTTGAGAAACATATCCTCCCTGTACCAGGAAGAGAAGAACATTCTTATCATCAGAGACTGGGAGTTGACTCCAGTCTGTATAAACAAACCTACTAAAATAACCCTTATCTTCCACCAGTTCCCTTCACGTACTTCCCAGTCACTGTCCCACAATTTATTGCCCCTAATACAAGCCACTGTGCTTTGTCACATCCCAACAGTTTATCATTCTTTTTGTGAAAAGGTGTGTACCGTATAATCTTTAGGATCTAAAGACTTTGGGTTTTCATTTTTTATCTGAAGATATCTGTGTATATGTAAAAACAAATTAAATGTATCTGCCTTTCTCCTGTTAACCCGTCTCATGTCCATTTAATTATTAGGCCAGCCACAGAACTTAAGAGTGTAGAGGGAAGTTTTTCCTCCCCACGACACAAGCTGAATTTCCCTTTGTAGTCTACTTCTTCAAGTAAACTACAGGCCACAGTCTGCAAGTTCTGTTGCTTGTAAGGGCCAAAAGGCAATGTAAATAAGTGAAATTTGCCACGTGGAACTTAGCTGAGACCATGTCCTATGTAAAGACAGCAGCTGTTACCTAGATTTAAGCCAACTGAGGGTCCCTTGTTGTCTCGTTTTCCCAGTTTCCAAGAGAAACCAGAAATAACCCCAACTAATTCAACAGTTTAAGTACATACAGCAGCCACACAGAGCACAGATTCCAAACAGAGTATGTCTGCAGGAACCGAAACTGAATCCATTCCATACTTCTAGACCTTTGTGGTAAATGGGTGGATGGATGAATGGGTGGGTGGGAGGGTGGGTGAGTGAGTAAGTGAGTAAATAATGAATCTGGGTCTTTACCGCAGTTCCCAAGGTTGTAGGGGAGGGGAGTGGAGAAAACAAGCAATTGTTGAGGACCTGTATTCCTGGCCCTGTGCAAAGGGTTTTACATACCTATTTGACCTTCATAACAACACCTCAAGGTAGTTATTATCATCCTTGTTTATTTCCACACTCATTTCACAGATAAAGAAAGGAGGCTTAAAATGGCCCAGGGTCACACCACTCGTTTTCTTTATTTATAACCTACCTAATTTTTTTTTTACTTTTATTTGCATTTATTTTTTGCGACATTTATTCCTGGGCCATAAGTTTTTGTTTCTGCAGTTTCTTATGGGATATCTTTTTCTTCTGTGCAACCTCCTCTTCTTGACGACTTGAGGACCGTCTGTTCTTTTTCAGTCAGGATCCTGTGGGGTTTTCTGGGTCAAGTGAATAACGCACCACTTCTAGGCGTCACCTCAGGCTGATGGCTCAGGCGGTAAATCACCTGCCTGCAATGCGGGAGACCCGGGTTCGATCCCTGGGTTGGGAAGATCTCCTGGAGAAGGAAATGGCAACCCACTCCAGTACTCTTGCCTGGAAAATCCCATGGATGGAGGAGCCTGGTAGGCTACCGTCCATGGGCTTGCAAAGAGTCAGACAGGACTGAGCGACTTCACTTTCACTTTCAGGCTGCTTACTGGAAAAGCTATAGCCTCCCTAATTTTTAAGAAGGGATTTCAGATGGACTGTTATGATTCAAGCCGGGTCCTGAGCCTGGAATCCCAGATAGCTCTGTTATACCAAAACACCACCACCAGAGGACTCAGGTTCTCAGAAGGCAGGTCAGGCAGGGTGCCAGATGTTCAGGGGGCAGCTTAGTTTCCTTGGGGATCTTACCAAGCACTCATCACTTCATGCTCCTCAGGGATGTCAGCCAGTGCTAAGGAGCTAAGACACAGGGGGTCTCTTGCCAGCCTGATACGCCCTTTCCACTTCATCCTGTCTTACTACCCTCTCTACTTACTCTGTGTGTGTGTGCGCATGCAAACTCAGTCATGTCCAACTCTTTGAGACCCCAGGGACTGTAGCCTGCCAGGCTTTTCTGTCCAAGGGATTCTTCAGGCAAGAATACTGGAGTGGGTTACCATGCCCTCTTCCAGGAGATCTTCCCGACCCAGGGATCGAACCCACATCTCCAGCATCTCCTGCCTTGGCAGACGGGTTCTTTACCACTAGCATCACCTGGGAAGCCCTTCTACTTACTATCCTCTCAGAAGTCAGAATTTCTGCCTACCAGCCTTGGATCCCACAACATCTTAATTCTTTTGAGAGCCCAGTAAGATAAGGACAGAGATGCAGATGCCAGAGCTGTTTGTTTGGAAAACGTTTTATTGGAGTTACTGAAGCAGCAAAGGGTGATCAAGGAAGGGATGGTGATCAGTAGCCCAGTCTTTCAGTGGCATCAGCAGCGCTGGGTCTCAAAGGGGCAGGTCACTGGGCATCAGGAGTTGCACTCCTCAGTCCTTTCAGCTGAGAGAGAGAGAGGCTACAGTCAGATTGGAGACCCTGGGGCACAGGGAGCCAGGGTCCTAAGAAAGCCCAGGATAGGGTGGGGTTCTGACAGAGAGGACTCACTGCCCTGGTCTAAGTTCCTGTTCTCCTCTGCGTTATAGTGGCTGCAATTTCCCTTAGACTTATTTTGTTGTTGTTGTTTAAATTTTATTGGCAGATAATTGGTTTACAATGTTGTATTAGTTTCAGGTGTACTGCAAAGTGAATCTGTTTTACATATACATATATGCACTCTTTTTTTAGATTCTTTTCCCATATAGGCCATTATAGAGTATTAAGTAGAGTTCCCTGTGTTATACAGTAGGTCTTTATTAGCTATCTATTTTATTTGTAGTAGTGCGTATATGTTAGTCCCAATCTTCCAGTTTATCCCTCCCCTCCCTCCCTGCCAACCATAAGTTTATTTTCTACATCAGTAACTCCATTTTTGTTTTGTAGCTAAGTTCATTGGTAGCCATTTTTTAGATATCACATATAAGTGATATCATGTGATACTTGTCTTTCTCTGTCTGACTTAGCTTTGGTCAGAAGAACGTTTAGCCCGCTTTCACTTTCCTTACTCTCCTGCTCAGATCCTCTGCTTTTTCCCTCACCCCCAGCCTCCTTTCTCTCCTAATGCCCACCTCCTCTTACCTTAGGAAAGGCATCCCAGTTGAGGAAAGGAAGTTTCCTTTTGATAGACTAAGACGGAAAAAGAGAATGAGAGTGATGTTTTACAGGTCAGGTGAACATGGATCAGTAAGCTCTTGTTGAAGAGTTCTCTGAAGTGGTGATGGTGTCATTGTCTTATAAATATAGTAAGGATGAGTATTTTCTGAGTCTGTATGCTGTGCTTGACTTGTACAGACTACTTTACAGGCATGATTTCATTTGGTCTTTGCAGCAATCTTTTGATTTCGATACTGACATCATACCCACTTCACAGATGAGGAAACTGAGGCTCAGAGCACTGAAGACATTTGCATGAGGGCACATAGTGAGTATGTGTGGGATCACGCACCACAGGCTCTACTTTTAGTTCTGCCACGGACTTAGTCTTCTTCTTTTTTTTTTTAATATTTATTTTTATTTAGTTATTTGACTGTGCTGGGTCTTAGTTGTGGCATGTGGGATCTAGTTCCCTGACCAAGGATCAAACCCAGGCCCCCTGCATTATCCACTGGACCACCAGGGAGGTCCTTGGCTTTAGCCTTCTAAATTTAGGTAAGTCACTCAAATTAGGACCTCATTTTCTTCCTGGAGGATGAGGGGATTTGAATAAACCCTTGACTGATTAAGTTCTTATTTTTCAGGGATTGTCTTTGTGGGTCACATTAGGAAAACAAGGTGTGGCCACGACAGCCTCCCAGGGAAACTTTCTTCAACTGGGCAGCATTCCAGCGGGACAGTTACTCCCTCCTGGAACCCAGGAAAGCACCAAAAGGGCTAGACCGGGATGTGTTGCCCCTATCCGGAAAAACAGTCAGGAGAGAAAGGGCGCCCGAGCTCTTACCTCGAAGAGAGCGTGCCAGTTCAGGAATTCATCGTTCTTGAAAGCCTTTGCAGAGAGAGAGAGACCAGAAGAGGGTCACTTCTGGGGAAGGACAGAGCTTGGCCCCTGGCCGTCTGGAAGAGAGAGGGGCCGAGGAAACCCTGCAAGCTCTCCGCCCAGGCACCAGCCTCCTTGAGGATGGGGGTGTTTGTGGAGGCCGCTCTAGAGAATGAAACTTACTGATCGCAACTTGTCAATGTTCAGGAACTGGGCATTAAAGGCCTAGGCAAAGAAGCAGGGTGTTAAGAAAGTTACTGAAGAACATTGAAGAGGTAGGGGACGAACTCATGGTCAGATGGGGAAAACAGATGGTTTACCTCGGGTCCTGCCGCATAATTACCAATGGTGGTTTCTTCCTGGAAAGTGAAGAAGAGAAAGGGGCTAAATGATCACCTGATGGCAAATCCCCTTCCCCAAAACCTCTCTGCCCCTTCCCACCCTCCACAGGCCAGCCCCATTCTCCATCCCGGGGGGCCTCAGTTAACCCACTCCGTCCCAGTATAGTGGTGGACGGTAGACAGACAGGTGGACAAGAAAGGGATTGGAGGGTGGCATGTGGGAGACAGAGAGTTCAGAGCCCAAGCCCGAATCCCCTGTAAGCAGCAGGAGGAAAGGGTGGAGAAAAGAGGACTCCTCCCAAGAAAAACTAGCTTGTGTGGTTCTGCGGTTGACTTGGGGTGTTCCTGAGACACCCCCACTTAACCCACAAAGCTGGGCGGGGGAGATTAGCAGGCAGGTGGGACCCTTTCTGAGGAGCCCTGCCTGTCTTTAATTGATGGAGGTTGGATTGCTTTGTGACTTGGTTGCCACCAGAGTCCCGGTCTTCGTCTCTCTACTCCAGCTGGTAGCCAGCCCCCATCCCAGGACCTCAGCGCTCCAGTCTGTCACCCTCCCCAACTCAGCTGCCCAGCTTCATCCCCCGCTTATTCCTTCCTTCCCACAATAGAGGTCACAAACAGTAGCCCACAGGCTAGACCCTAATGTTGACATCGCATCATAATTTGGCTTGTTTGCTTTTTGATTTGAATTAAGCATTTTTAATTAGTAAGAGTTCATAAATCAGATTTCCAGGTTGTCTGGAAAACTTTTCAACTCCGGCCACACCGGCTACCTTTTCCCAGTTAGCAGCAGGCAGGTGGCATATGGACTGCCCCTTTCGAGATGGGGCAAGATCACACCACCTCCCCTGAAGCTCCACCAAGCCCTCTTGCTCCCCATTGTCACTTGCTCCGGTCCTACGCAGTGGAGTCTGTGCCCTGTCGTTAACTTTCATATCCAGCATGGAAATTCTCCCCCGACAGTAGGATAAGGTGAGAAGAGGGGGACCTCAGGAGTTTTCCTGAAGTCAAAAAAATTTGTGGCTGAACCCAGACGACCAGCCTCAGCTCCTGTCCCCTCTCAGGATGTCCAGCCTCCACCCCACACTTGACCATCCTTTGCAAGAAACATAAGCCTCTCTGCCCCTTCCCACGAATGCTTTGTCTCCTTCCTCCCGTCTTCCCTTCCTCAGAGCCCCAGCTTCTCCTTCAGCCCCTGGGAATGCCCAAAGATAAGAGCCGCTTCTCTAGTGACTGATGGAGGGTAAAGAAACTGAGGAGTAAATCAGCTAATAAGAGAAGCCAGGTGACGTGCTCACCTCAGAGCTGGCCAGGGCTGCCCCCTGAGCAGAGTGGAGCGCCAGGACAGAGAGAAGAACGACAGCGGGAAGAACGGGGATCTTCATGATGTCAACTTTGGGGTGCTCTGAGGCAAGACAACCCAAGGCTTGCCCTTTATATTCCCAGGGAGGCAGATCTGAGCAGAACTGGGGTCCCCACCCCACTGACTCACCTCCAGATCCTATTGCCCACCCCTGGGGCTCTAGGAAGGGGAGGTGTGGACTGTTCCCCACTTACCTTGGATTTCTCAATTCACATACTGCCCCGGGCACTCGAAAGGTGAGCCAGCAATGGGGTTCTTCATGCAGACAGAGCTGAGATGGAGACAGGTTGGACCTGTCCCTCCAAGAGATTGGCAGTGGCACCCAAGCAATCTGTCCTTTTGTCTTTGTCTCCTTTCCTTGTAGCTCTTGGTTCCTCTCTTATAATTCAGGCTTTTTCCCACCCTATCCAATTCTGTCTAAACTCCCTACACTGTCATTGAAGGCCTACCAGGCTCTGGCCTCAACCCACCTTTCTAACTTTTCCTTCCTTTTACTCCCTTTGCACATACCTCATGTTCTGGCCAAACTGAACTCCTTACCAAAAATACCCTTTTACTCCCTCCTCCAAGCAGCTGCCCGTGCTAACTTATGCCTAAAATGTCCTTCTCTCCACTTTCGTTCTCAGAACCCAACACCCATCTTAGATTAAGCTTCCCTGATATATCTCATCAACTGTTACCCCTGACTCCAAAACTTTCCCCTCCCTCCTGAGAACTGCCGTAGCAGTTCATTTGTATCTCTCTGGCATTGTACTTAGAGTCACTTGTGTTCTTCCCTCTTAGAATGTCAAGTTCCTTGAGGTCAAGGACTATATCTTGATTACCTTTATATCCCCCAGCACCGCGCCTTAGAATGGAGGGGGTCTACAGATGCTAGATTAAGCATTTTAGAATTTAAGCATCCTTCCACCAAGTTGTACACTTTCTCCCTTTAGGGCTGGACCCATTATCCAGCTGTCCATCTTTTACTCTTGGCTCTTCAGGGAGGTAACTGTCTTGAGCTAAGACAAAGAACTCAGAAACACAGGAAAGCAGAAACATGTCTTAGAGCTACCCAGATGGAGATGGGCTCTAGGTCCTAAACTTTGAGCGCTTACACCATCTTGCTGAGCTGATTCTGTTCCCCACCCTACTCCCCCAGCCTGGGAGTTGTATCATCTCAAAGCAACAAACCACCCTCATCAAGCAGCCTTCTCTGCAGCGAGGTTCAGGCAGCCCAACCGGTTCCTGACGTAACAGGGAGGTGCTGGAATGAAGACAGGTGCTGCCTGGACAAGGCAAGATCTTCTTTAAGAGTGGACTCTTGGGACTTCCCTAGTGGTCCAGCAGTTAAAACTGCATCTTCCAGTGCAGCGGGTGTGGGTTTGATCCTGGTCTGAGAGCTATGATCCCACAAACCTTGTGGCCAAAAAACCAGAACATAAACAATAGAAGCAATATTGTAACAAATTCAATAAAGACTTTAAAAATGGCCGATATTAAAAAAAAAAAAAAACCTTAAAAAAAGATGACTTTGCTCTTTACCCCAGCCTGATGGGATACACAGAGCTAGCAGGCCTAGCGAGGGAGGGCTGGGTCTTACTCAGCAACAGTCTTCTTGAACCCCAGAAGCTGGAACATTGGTTCAATTCTCCTCCTGCCCCCACACCCCAGTCCCCAACATCCTGTCCCTCTTTAGCCTCAGGAAGCCTCCTCTATCTTTCTAACAGCACCTCCCCATCTGCAGAGATGTCTGAAGAGACAGTGTTTGAGAAGCCGTCAAACACAGATGACCAGGTCACCATGGATATCACGCAAGTGGTGCTCCTGGAGGGGACAAGTGAGAAAATGACAGATGGGTGGAGCACCTCCCAAAAAGGTTTTCTGGAGGACACGAGTTTTTTTAATGTGTGATGAATTCTTACCAACTAATTAACAGGACCTGAAGGAGCTCATTAACCATCATTCTGTCAGCATAGAGTCAACTATGAATGAAGCTGAATGAAGAATGAACAAAATGGGACTTCCCTGGCATTCCAGTGGTTAAGAATCCCCCTTCCAACGCAGGGGACATAGGTTCAATTCCTGATCAGGGGACTAAGATCCCACATGCTGCAGGACAACTAAGCCCGTGAGCCACAAGTACAGAGAAGCCCGAACGCCAAAACAAAAGACTGCACATGCTGCAACTAAGATCCAAAGCAGTCACAAATAAAAAATAAAGAATGACCAAAATGAAGACTCGACCAAGGAGAGCTGATGTGGTGTACTGAAGTCCCACCAGACCTGCTAATGAAGGAGCACTTCGGCCTGGATCACTTAGAAAAACAGACCAGCCCAGCACCGTCACCTCTCTGGCTCCAGAGAACTTTTGCAACAAACTGATTTCCCTGTTTTCCTTTCCACCTCATGCAAATGCTGCTAATAATAACATGAGCCAGTTTATTGATGTCCTACTCTGTGGCAGGCCTTGCGCTAAGCGCTCGAAGTGCGTGATCTCACTGAAATCCCACAGAGCTCCTGTGAAGCGAGTATTATAATTATCCACAGTCTGTAGGCAGGAGAACCACAGCACACGGAGGTTAAACCACTCATGCTAGGTCACACAGCCAGGGCGTGGCGAGGCCAGCATTACAACCCCAGATTCCAGAGCCTGCCCCTGTCTCACCCCTTTCCTCAGCCTGCCCACCTGGAACCTTGTATGTGTTAGACCCATGCCCTGAGAGCTGGGGGGCAAAGCTTCAGAGAACCCCCACTAGTCCACTTCAACAGGTGTCCTGTTTTTTAATTTTTATTTGCTTAATTTTTGGCTGTGCTGGGCCTCTGTTGCTGGATGGACTTTCTCTAGTTACAGCGAGTGGGGGCTACTCTCCAGTGGTGGTGGACAAGCTTCTCCTTGTGGTGGTGTCTCTTGTGGCAGAGCACAGGCTCTAGAGTGCACGGGCTCAATCACTGTGGCCTGTGGGCTTAGTTACTCCAAAGCATGTGGGATCTTCCTGGACCAGGGATCGAACCAGCGTCCCCTGCACTGGCAGGCAGATTCTTAACCACTGGACCACCAGGAAAGTCCCAGCTGTCCTTTAGTGGTATGTGGCCTGCACAGCCATATATAGCAGCTCTGAGCAGACATACATTAATTTCAGCGAATTAAAATGCAATCTCAAAAATGACAGAATGATCTCTGTCCATTTCCAAAGCAAACCATTAAAGACACAGTAATCCAAGTCTATGCCCCAACCAGTAATGCTAAAGAAGCTGACGTCAAACAGTTCTGTGAAGACCTACAAGACCTTCTAGAACTAACACCCAAAAGAGATCTCCTTTTCATTATAGGGGACTATAATGCAAAAGTAGGAAATCAAGAAACACCTGAAGTAACAGGCAAATTTGGCTTTGAAGTACAGAATGAAGCAGGGCAAAGGCTAACAGAATTTTGTCAAGAGAATGCACTGCTCATAGCAAACACCCTCTTCAAATAACACAAGAGAAGACTCTACACATGGACGTCACCAGATAGTCAATACCAAAATCAGATGGATTATATTCTTTGCAGCCAAAGATGGAGAAGCTCTATACAGTCAGCAACAACAAGACCAGGAGCTGACTGTGACTCAGATCATGAACTCCTTATTGCCAAATTCAGACTTAAATTGAAGAAAGTAGGGAATACCACTAGACCATTCAGGTATGACCTAAATCAAATCCCTTACAATTATACAGTGGAAGTGACAAATAGATTCAAGGGATTAGATCTGATAGACAGAGTGCCTGAAGAACTATGGACGGAGGTTTGTAACATTGTACAGGAGGCAGGGATCAAGACTATCCCCAAGGAAAAGAAATGCAAAAAGGCCAAATGGTTGTCTGAGGAGGCCTTANACAGTCTGTAAGCAAGAACTTTAAATGGGGAGTTCCAGGGCTATATAGGAGAAAGGAGGGGACTCCATGCAGAAACAGCACACAGACCACTCTAATGGCAGAGAGTGAAGAAGAACTAAGAGTCTCTTGATGAGGATGAAAGAGGAGAGTGAAAAAGCTGGCTTAAAACTCAACATTCAAAAGAAGAAAGGTCATGGCATCTGGTCCCATCACGGCAAATAGAAAGGGGAAAAGTGGAAGCAGTGACAGATTTTATTTTCTTGACCTCCGACATCACAGTGGACAGTGACTGCAGCTATGAAATTAAAAGATGCTTGCTCCTAGGAAGAACAGCTATGACAAACCTAGGTAGAGTATTAAAAAGCAGAGACATCACTTTGCCAACAAAGGTCCATGTAGTCAAAGTGATGGTTTTCCCAGTAGTTATGTACAAATGTAAGAAGGCCTGCATGCTAACTTGCTTCAGTCCTGTCCGGCTCTTTGTGACCCTATGGACTGTGTAGCCCGCCAGACTCCTCTGTCCATGGGATTCTCCAGGTAAGAATACTGGAGTGGGTTGTCATTTCCTCCTCCAGGGATCTCCCTGATGCAGGGGTTGAACTTGCATCCCTTACATCTCCTGCATCGGCAGGCAGGTTGTTTACCACTACTGCCACCTGGGAAGCACCACAAATGTGAGAGTTGGATGATAAAGCAGGCTGAGTGCTAAAGAGTTGATGATTTCAGATTGTGGTGTTGGAGAAGACTCTTGAGAGTCCCTTGGACAGCAAGGAGATCCAACCAGTCCATCCTAAAGGAAATCAATCCTGAATATTCATTGGAAGGACTGATGCCGAAGCTGAAGCTCCAATACTTTGGCTACCTGATGCGAGGAGCCAATTCATTAGAAAAGACCCTGATGCCAGGAAAGATTGAAGGTGGGAGGAGAAGGGGATGACAGAGGATGAAATGGTTGGATGGCATCACCGACTCAATGGACATGTGTTTGAGTAAACTCCGGGAGTTGGTGATGGACAGGAAGGTCTGGCGTGCTGCAGTCCATGGAGTCCCAAAGAGTTGGATATGACTGAGTGACTGAACTGACTAACTGAAGCTGTGTTCTTACCAAATGAAAACAGAGAACTAAGAGATTAAATGGTCCTCACTGAGCATATGCCCCAGAATGAACCTGCAATTGCCCCAGATTCCAGATGCCTCTTATAGTTTGAGCATCTTGCCACACCAAGGGTGTGTTTAAAGATAGTCTTCTAGTGTTTAAAGATAGGTGCTTTTATATAATATCTCTAAACACAAGCCTATTGTTTCGTGTGCACAACCCAAGAAATTCCGTTCACATTCTGGAGAAAAGTAAACTGGGTGTGCCACAGGGAACTCTGCTCACTGTTATGTAGCAGCCTGGGTGGGAAGGCAGTTTGGAGGAGAATGGTTACATGTATATATATGGCTGAGTCCCTTTTTTGTCCACTTGAAACTACCACAGTGTTGTTCATCAGCTATACTCCAATATAAAATGAAAAGTTAAACAACAACAACAACAACAACTGGCCGTGCTGGACTTATGATTATTTCCATTTGGCACCTTCATAATTTTCAAGGGTAATTTTGGCTTTACATGATTTATGCTGTAAATGCTAATCTAGAGTCTGGTGTCCCTCTCTCCCCACTCTCTCCCCTTCTCCCATTTAAACTGCCTTGGTGAGTTTTGTGTTTCCCAAGTGTCCAGTGTCCAGTGGTTGGGCAGGTTGGGAAGAGAGGTGTAGGAGGGTCCTCACTGGCAGAGAGAGTCCCCGCAGTTCAGGTAATGGGACCCTCAGCAGGAGAATCTTCCCAGGTTCAGCCTTGCTTTGGCTGCATCTCATAGGGTAAGTGGAGTAAGCCAGAGTCACCGAGCCTGCCTCTGTGACACCCCAGCCCCAAGTCTGACTGATCTCCTAGTTCTCACTCCGATAATACCAGTAAGCCCCTGATTTCCCACAGGCCTTGGCCCACTCCGCCCCAAATCTGCCAGAACTTGAGTGTGGGTGGGAGGTGAGGCCCAACCCTGATTGCTACATTACAGACACACCTAGGGGCTGGGAGCCAGCCTCCTAGGGCTCAGGGAAGGGCAGCACCCCAGGGTCTCAGGGTCTTGTGAACATCGAGGTGAAAAGCCTAGAATCCTTGGAGAGAAAGGGGCCAGGGTATGAGGTATGGGGTATGGAGGGGCAGAGCCCAGGGCATCCCTATCTCATCCTTTCCTCCCTCTGCCGGTGTTGTGGTCACACCCAAGGACGCAGTCACGTTGCCCAGCAGGTCTGGCTTCTTCCCTTGCTGCCCAGCCTCTGCTCTGCGTACACTTTGCTTAAACTTCTCCCAGGAAGACTTCCTAGATGCAGCCCACTTAATTCTTTTTTTTTATTTTTCGAGACGTAGAGTTTTATTTCATTATGATAGATTCAAACCAAGGTTATAAAAGCCCAAGGATAATGACTAATACATTCCATGAAAAGATTTTGTTACTGCTTGACAGTGACCTGTGCTAGACAGATACCAGAATTACTTTTGTTTTTTCGAAAATATCAAACAACGACTGAATTGGAAAATTTTTCATGCAATTCTTGTGGGTGAATATTCCCAGAATACGATATAAAAGTTGACCAACTTGGAGATAGACCATCTCATTTACCTACTTTATCTCAATACTTCTTATACATTATAAGCTACATTCACAAGTGCCTGATAGAGGCTAACAGTCTGTTGAACCCACTTAATGCTGACCCCGCTTCCATTTTCTAATTCCCAAATGTTTATTAAACAGATTTTTTGGCTCTTAGTGCTGAGGATTCGAGATGGACAGAAACCTGTCCTGTGAAACTTCTGTTCCATTAAAGTAGACAGATTATAACATAACAAAAAAATTAAGAAACAAGATCATTTCAGAGGATGACAAGTTCTGTGAAGAAAGAAAGACCAGGTGATGTGAGAGTGGCTGGGGAGGTGACGTTGGTTAAGCTGGCTTGGGGATTTGCATTTAGACCAAAAGTCATTAAAGTTTTTAGCCTCTTGATTACCCCAGGTTTCAGGGACAGGTAACAGCAGTGTTCTTTGGGAGACTGTCCAAGCACATCTGGGTTGACACTGGACAGAGAGACCAGAGCCAGAACTCGCTGAGCCATGCTCAGGGGTTGAAATTTTATTTGATGGTTAATGGAATTTGTGGGCTTTCCTGGTGACTCAGCAGTAAAGAACCCACCTGCCAATGCAGGAAACTTGGGTTCCATCCGTGAGTCTGGAAGATCCCCTAGAGAAGGAAATGGCAACCTACTCCAGTGTTCTGGCCTGGAGAATCCCATGGACAGAGGAGCCTGGCGGGTTACAGTCCATGGGGTCGCAAAAGAGTCAGAAATGATTTAGCCACTAAACAAAAACAGTGGGGTTTGTGGGGGATTCTGAGCAGGGGAGACTCTCTGGCTGCTGTGGGAGAACGGATGTTAGGAGAAACTCAAAAGTCAGAAGCTACGTCAAGAAGCTGCTTCAGAGCTCCCGGCAGGAGAAAGGGCTGGCCTGCTGTTTTATGAGAATCCTTTACACCAGAGGGCCTCAACCTGCTTCACCTGGTGCTTTAAACTTTAAAGGGTGGCTTTCAGCCCTTTGGACCATGAACGCCCCAAATCCAGAACTATGTTGACCACCTCAACCCCTCAATCCCCAGCTTCTCCCTCAATCCCTCAGGGATTGGCAGGCAACGTGAGGTCCCGCAGTTTCTGTCGCTCACCCACTCTCCCGGAAGGAAACCAGCAGTCAAGCCCGCTGTCAATTCAGCTGGAAGGACTGAGCGGCAGCGCGGGGACGGACGCGCTCTCCCCCCTGTGGCTGCGAGGAGGTACTGCAGGGCCCTTCCTAACCAGGTGAGATGCAGAAAGGGTGAAAGTGTTCGTGGCTCAGCCGTGTCCGACTCTTTGCGACCCCAGTGGACTGGAACCCGCCACTCTCCTCTGTCCGTGGAATTCTCCAAGCAAGAATTCTGGAGTGGGTTGCCATTCCCTTTGCCAGGGGATCTTCCCGACCCAGGGATCAAACCCGGGTCTCCTGCACTGCAGGCGGATTCCTTACCTTCTGAGCCACCAGGGAAGCCCGAGATTCAGAGATGAATATAAAGCAGGAACCCCGGCTTAAGGACAAACGTGAGAAACGGATGCACGTCAAGTCATTTCCCCTAAGTCTGCTTTGGGCCCGGCTTCTTTCATTTCTTCATCAGCTGTTTGATGAGCCAGGCCCTGAGCTAAGCCCTGGGAACTGACCCTCCCCTTCCCCCTCATGTCAGTCATTTTGCACACCCCTCTCAGGAGGAAGGGGCTTCCCCAGTGACTCAATGGTTAAGAGTCCGCCGGCAATGCAGGAGATGTGGGTTCGATCCCTGGGTGGTGAAGATCCCCTGGAGGAGGACATGGCAACCCACTCCAGTATTCTTGCCTGGAGAATCCCATGGACAGAGGAGCCTGGCAGGCTGCAGTCCATAGGGTCGCAAAGAGTCGGACACAACTGAGTGAGCACACTCAGGAGGAAGGTGAGTTACCCGCCCCGAACCCGTCTTCCCTCCTCCCTGCCCCAGACCATCAGTGTCCTATTAAAGAGAATAAAATCTGCCAAAGTCTTAGGGATACAAGATTCATGTTTTATTTCCACAGAGAAACTCTAAAGTAGGACGCTCCTCCTGAATTTTTGTCACGGTGACTTCAGGTCACAGAATGGAGCCAGTGCAGAAACGGCTGGGGTACCCCCGAGACTGGAGGTCAAGGAGACATCACCACCATGTGCGGGAGCAGACAAGGGGCAGGCAGGCAGGACCTCAAGCTAGAAAAGGCAGGTGTCGGCACGCAGACCAAGGGCTGGGGCAGGGGCACAGTCCGGTCCCTTGACGACTCATGTTTCTCAGGGCCTCAGTCACGGTCGGAAGTGGTTGTCCAGAAGAAAGAGAAGATGGTAGAACACCAGCCACTCCCAGATCTGTTGAGACCAGGCGTTCTCTCATCTCCCCCAGCTGCTGTGCCCACAGTTCCCTCATGCCCTGCCCATGCCACCTGCGGGCTCCTCTCCTCCCTAAAACAAGTATTACCCCTTCCCAGCCTGGCGACTCACTTCTTCCCGCCCCTGAAACTTTACACCTGAAAGGCTCATCCCACAGCCCCCTCCCCCCTCCACACACAATTCCTATCCTGTTCCAGCTCCTTAATCTAATGTGCCTTCCTGTCCCTGCCTGGCCCACCCAGCACTCAGAGGGTGCATTCCCACAGTGTTCTAGGTCATTTTTTAAAAACTCTTCTAAGTATTTATTTTAACGGAAGTATAGTCTTCTTTTCAATTTTTAAAAAACATTTTTTGGCCAAGCCATGCGGGATCTTAGTTCCCCAACCAGGGATCGAGCCCACACCCCCTGCTTTGGAAGCTCAGAGTCTTAACCACTGGACCACCAGGGAGGTTCCCGGTCATTTTCTTATGAGTCTTTCTCCACAAGCCACACTTGGGTGTCTCTTCCTCCTTAACACCTTTAGCATGTTCTTCTAGAACAAAGGGAAGGCCCAGCCCCCAGCCCTGACCCCAGGTGACTATGCCTCAACTCCTGATACTCACCTACCAAAACTTCACCCATTGCAGCAGGCCAGGGTGCATCCGGGAAGCCTGTGGGGCAAGGAGAAGGTCTGAATGGACGGTGCATCGTCCCCTGTGCACCCTCTGGCCTCAGACCCCTTCTCTCGAGAGCCAGATTTTCTCAGGCCCAGAACTTACCGAGGAAGAAACCGTGACTCCCCCCTGTAAAGAGAAGATCAGAGGAGGTGAGATGAGGGCCTCTGTGACTGCTCTGTACTCAGCCATGTCCTCAGGGCTCAGGAAGGGCCCGTGGCCCTGGCAGGTTCAGACCAGGGTCATCCCAGAGATCCTTTGGTCTGACGGCAGCCCTTCAGCCACAGCCAATTTCTCATCCTGCATGCATTTTACCCAAGATGATACTGAATGTGGTCCCTGAGCATGCACTGACCGAGGGGAGTGAGAAGAGGAAAGGTATGTCTCCCTCTGCCTGCCCGGGGGATGAGCGAAGCGGATATACCCACAGGAGTGTTAACTGCAGCATCACCTCCTTTCAGGGCACAGGCTTTATTATTCTGAGAGATGGAGGGAAATACCGGCAGTTCGTTTGTTTGTTAACCAGCCGAATTAGTATTTAGCATATTCCTTTACTGAATTTATAAAATTGTTTCTTTGAACCTGAATAAAGCAAAATCCTCACTTTTCTTTCCAGTTACTTCCTTTATGAAAAGGAGCCTTCATTTTCCCACCAACCAAGAGTTTCTGGGTCAGCCTCCTCTCCCCTAGAAAGGTCAGCAGTTAGAGATGGAGAGCAGATTTGCCGTGGGTCCTGTGATTTTTGAGGTGGCTTATGTTCCTCATTGAGAGGACCGAAGTTTTTTCCATGGCATGTGATGCAGTCAGGTTCCCCTGTAAACTCTTGAGAGGGTGGGCAGTTGCAAGTCTTACCTTAGCAGGGGTCTTGGCTGGGTACTGCCCGCCAAGGGCTGTAGGGGGTCCCTGCTGGTTGTAATTGTAGTTCTGTGGAAGGAAGCAGTGGAGGGGTGATGGGTAGGGGATCAGGAGAGAAGGGATGAAGGCATTTTACTCCCACCCTCCTGCTCTGGCTGGACCTTTCTCAGAGCCCCTGCCTCCTCCCTCCTCACGTCACGAGTGTGCTTCTATAGAATCTCCTTCAGCCACACCCCGTGCCTTCACCTCGCTTCACCTCCCAGCCCAGATGGCCTGGCCTCCCTTGTCCTTCTCTGCCTCTCCCAGCATCTCAGGTGTCACTGAGGAGGTGAGGAGAGGAGACCAAGGAAAAAGTGAGGTCTGAATCAGGTGGTCAGGTGGCTGCTAGCTCACCTTAGCAGTCACAGCTACTGCATCTTGCCATCCTGTGCCAGGCTGAGAAAATGATAGAACCGGGCGTGAGGAGGGAGAATTTCAGATTGGCAGATTGGCCAAACCAAGAGCCGGGTGGACTTCCCAGGTGGCGCTAGTGGTAAAGAATTCGCCTGCCAATGCAGGAGACTTAAGAGATGTAGGTTCAATCCGTGGGTCAGGAAGATCCCCGGGAGGAGGGCATATCAATCTACTCCAGTGTTCTTGCCTGGAGAATCCCATGGACAGAGGAGCCTGTTGGGCTGCAGTCCACAGGGTCACAAAAAGTCGGACACGACTGAAGTGACTTAGCTTGCACAAGAGCTAGGCGGAGAGGGACCATGGGCCTTCTAGGGCATTCTGAGGGAGGGACTCACCTGGCCAGCCACACCTGCCCTCTTCTGAAGCGATGGCACGTCCTCGCCCTGGAAGGAAGGGGGAATCAGAATGAGGACAGCCTCGTGGTCCTTCAGGTCTTGCCAGGCTCTCACCACCCAGGCTCTGCCCTCCTTCTGGAGGCCAGCGTCCCACCTGACCCACCCACCCCTCTCAGGGTCCGTGGTAGGTGCTGCCTATGGTGAAGGTGGCGGGCCAGGAGGAAACTGATGGCCCGGATAGATAGAGGACAGGTTGCCACACTCAGTGGGCAGTGATGAGGAGAGAACGGGTTTGGCAGCCCCACCATCACCCAGGCGCCTGCAGCGCCGGCCTGAGCCAGGATAACAAGTGAGGGAACCTATACAAGCTCCCAGGGCAGAGCCCGTGTGTCAGCCCCACCCATCCTCAGCCTGCAACACGCGCTGCTCCCCTCACAGGGGCATCCCTCTTCCCAAATGCTGTTCTCTATGGGGTCTTTGGAAGTCCCGGCTGGTTCCCACGGAGGCCAAGTCAAAGGAGAGAGAGGAAAAAGAAATATAGGAAAGCAGACAGAGCCCTTAAGAAGCACTGCAGGGACTTCCCTGGTGGTCCAGTGGCTAAGACTCTGCACTCCCAATGCAGGGGGCCCGGGTTCGATCCCTGATCAGGGAACTAGGATCCCACATGCCCCAACTAAGGGTCCCCATGCAAGAACAAAGATCAAAGGTCCTGCGTGCTGCAACTAAAGAAATGAATAAATATTTTTTAAAAAGCCAAGGAAATGAATAAATATTTTTTTAAAAGAAGAAGCACTGCAGATGCGCAGGCTCCCTCCCCTCCTCTGATGAAGGCAAGGGGAAATCTTGTCTGTCTCTTTCTCAGGCTCAGGATGTTCTTCCCAAATCTGGCTTAACTCTCCACCTTATCCATACCTGCCATTGACTTCTTTTTCTTTCTGTCATTGACTTCTAACCCCGCTTCTCCAGGGGATCTTCCTGACCCAGGGATCGAACCCGGGTCTCCTACGTTGTAGACAGACGCTTTACCATCTGAGCTACCATGGAAGTCCTCTAACCCCACTACTAGCCCCAAAAACGTGCACACAAACTGGAGGACCACAGGCCTCCACAGGCGTTTTTTGGCTTGGTCCGCATGTGTAAATTCAATCAGTTGTGAACAGTTGAAAGCCCTAGTTTTCTAGAAAAAATCAAGACAGTGTGGCCCCATCTGTCCAGCCTCACGTGCCCACGTGGACGAGGGAGCCTGCAACCCTGGCCTCAGTGCCCAAGAGTCCTGATTCCTGAAGGCCACTAGCCCCACAAAACCTAAGTGTGGTCTTCAACAGGACGCTCAGGCCATGCCCGTCCTTCCTAGAACTCAGATAACCAGACCCCCCACCCTGCAGCTGCCTGCACGCGACCTTGACCCTCCCTCCTCCTCCCCCCAAAGATACTACCCTCCCACTGCCCTTCAGCTTTCCTCCTGAGTAAACCTGTTCCGGCCCTGAGAGTTGAGCCCAGCCCCAGGCCCCTCCACCTCCCCCACCCCACGATCCCCGCTCCCTGCTCCCCCTGCAGCACCCACCCAGCTGCGGCTCCCCCCGAGCCAGGCCACACCCAGCAGGAGCAACAGCAGAGAGGAGACAGTGGCCGGCTTCATGATCTCCCGCCTGTGGAGCCCTCGACTCTCCACCTCGGCTTTTATCTCCGGGAGGACCTCCCACCCGGCTCCCTTCTCCGTGACTCACAGCTTCCTTCTCCCACCCCGCCTCCGCTGGGCATGCACACAAGGAGGAAAGTGGGGACCGAGGGAGGCACCTTCCCTCAGCAGGGAGGAAGCAGAAACAGGCCGCTGCCCAGGGCCCCGAGCCCTGTGTCCCCAGAGCTGAGCGTCCTGACCCCCAAACCGGGGGTTCTACGGCCCTTACCTCAGTAATGACTTTCCAGTTCAAGAAAGGAGTGTTGTGTTTGAAATCCTGGAGGAAGAAGGAAAGATGAGTGGGCCACAGGGAAAGAGGATTCAGAGGGTGGAGTGTGGCAGGCTGTTGTGAAAGTTTCAAGATCACGTGCAAGAACAGGTTTTGGGGGTTTTTTGGCAGCTGGGTGTAGTTTGGGGTTAGATGAAGATAAGCCTCCAGGAGACCGAGGGTGTTAGCATTGCTGATGGTACTGGTGATAAGACTTGGGGGAGATGACGCATCTCAGAAGTGAGAAGAGGGGGACTTTTGTGACAGGTAGACTGGAGCAGAGGGGTAGCTGCCTGGAGGGAGGGAGGGAAGATTCTTCACCAGGATTCCCAGTTCTTCAGAGTGAGAGTTCTCCTACCTCCCAGAGCCGCCTGAAGTAGAGGAGGGCACGAGTGCTGGGGGGTGGGGCCTGGCCCTGTGGATGAAAGTGGGGAGCTGGTGAGCAAGGAGTCTGTCCCCACCCACCCTCACCTGAACCCCTGCTCCTGCATCCCTCTGCCTTCAGAATTCACTGTGACTGAGGTCTGGGGGGAGCCGGTTCCTCCAGGGACACCAGAATACTGTTCTGGGGGACAGGGAGAGTGAGGCTAGCCTCTGGAGCCATTAGCCAGCCCTCGGTCACTCCCACAGCACATGACAATGTTCTTCTCTAGCCCAGTCCCCCACCCCCACCCCCAGCCTCAGGGAGAACACAACCTCAGGCCCTGCCCCCTGGACCTTCCCACCTTACTACCTGCCCACCTCCCAGAGATATGGAGCCGAAGTCCCCCTTTCCATCCCCCACCCCCAGCCTCAGGGAGAACACAACCTCAGGCCCTGCCCCCTGGACCTTCCCACCTTACTACCTGCCCACCTCCCAGAGATATGGAGCCCAAGTCCCCCTTTCCAACCACCCTGCCCCCCGCCCCCACATCCCTCAGAACAACAGTGGAGACGTTAAGAAAGGAGCAGAGACCAGGAATGTGGGATAGCTAAGATTTATTTTGGAGCAAGCATTGAGGTTAGTAGGGAGATAGCGGTGATTTAAGAATGGGTGGGAAGGGGGCTCCCCTCCATCTGGTAGCTCCGTGTCTGGAAGTCACGGGGTGTGAAAGCTCCTCTGGTCCTGGGCAAAGAAAGAAGTTCCAAGGGGGAGCTCAAGGACTAGGGATTTGGGGAGCAGTGGACCAAGGCAGGGGTAGATGGGACCTCCGCATCAGAAATCTACAGGGACCTTTGTGCCCATGGTTGTCATGCAATCAAGTCCAGCTCTTGGGCTTGGAAACCCCCCTACCTGCCAGGAACGTGTGGGCCCCTGTCCTCATTCCTCATCTGGCCGAGTCCTGGCTCCCTCATTGCCCCTCCCCCTACCATGAAGGAGGTGGATGGCTCCATCCTCTTCTCTGCCCATCTCTTGTGTCCTGTCCCTTTCCTGGGAGATCTGCTCCTGGGGGAGCTGCACCTCAGTGAATCCCACCTGGCAGCGAGCACTCCCTTTACTGCCCCCCTAGATGTACAAAAACGTTTGACCCCCTGGGAAGTATCTGTGCATGCCCTGGTTCTCCCGTTAAATTCTTAAGTCCCCATGCTCACAGGCCTGAGCATGGTCCACGGCAAGGAGTCTTACTCTTACCAGAGACCATTCTCTATGAAATAGAAAAGTCTGTTTTCTTCATTTTGTCCCTCCAAGCCAGGACTCTGCTGTAGCTGGGAGCTTCTGCAACTCCCATTTTCAGTCCCCATCTTATTCCCAGAGGGTGACATTCCTGAGGTGGGGACTGCCTCTTGTCTCCCCACCGACCATCTCCCTCCCCCACGAGTTTTGGAGGGCAAGAATCCTAGTCTGCATTCTTTTACTTGAAGGGTTAGGAACACTAGTTTCTCCAGTCAGGTGGCTAGAAGGACTGGGATGGGCAGGGGACATCCGACCGCTGGAGAGCAAGCCCCAGTGGCAAGAAGCAGCTGCTTCTCGGCTCTAGGCTGTCACAGGCCGTAGAAAGAGGAGCCCAGTGCTGCCGTATTGTTCTTTGAAAATGAATCAAACCAAAGGATCAGTGGACCACCAATTCTAGCTTCTGCCTTTGGTATTTGATTTATTTATTTGTCCTTCACCACCCCTCCCCACTTCCAGTCCACCCCCTCTGCTCTGGAGATACATTTGCTATTCTGGTGTCAGACCAGCCTGGCCAGGGCTTCCCCTGTGAGAGCAAGGGGTAGGCTGGGAGGAAGGACAAGGGGGTTCTGGGCCCCGAGCATCTCCTAAGATCACGTATGTGCAGGGCCCAGACTGATGCCTGGAGTGTTCACTCCCTTTTCCCTTGTCTCTTGGCATCAATCCTAAGGTGAACTTTAGCTCCCCTTGATGATTCAGTCCATGCCCTGCCTCTCTCTGCCTCTGCTCCCTCCTTTGTTCCTAGGGATTAGGTCTTCTTACTCTCCGGGGAAACTGAGGTTCAGGACTGTTCAGGTCTGCATGTTGAGACATGAAAGAGACCTGCTCCCTCCTTATCCCCCACTCCCAGCTGTTTTGAAATTCTCCCTCTTTTCAGGTCTCAGCTGTCCTTCCTCCTCGTTTTTATCTTTTCTTTTTAAATGACTAGCAGAAATGCTTTCTTAATGACCATCATCACTGTTCCCTGGCTCACCTAGCCATTTAGCTTTCTTCTCTACATCCCTCCCTTAAAAAGATCAAAATGACGTGGCCTTCAAGTCCTTACCTTGTTTAGGGCATCCCAGTTAATGAAGCCCAGCTTGGATTTAAAATTCTGCAGGGAAAAAAAAAAGAATGGTCAAATTGGATCATAGTGTGATTGACTCAGGGCCTCAGGACAAGAGAGGCCAAGGNACCTCCAGAAAGCCTTCCTGGACTGATTTGCTGCTTGCTCTCCAGACTAACCCTACCCAGTCCCTTGAATCAAATCCATATTCTTTCTCCCCGCCCCATCTCTGCTCCCCAAACACCACTAGTAGCCAACATGTAGTCCCACTTGCACAGGACACTGTGCCTCTTTCCACCACTCTCCCATGTGGAGACGGCTCTGCTTTACAGAAGGAAACTGAGGCAGAGAGCTGTCCAGCAGCTTTTCTCAGCTCCCGTCTCCGTGTCAGACTCCAGGGCCAGGACTCTGAACCACCTTGGTGTGATTACGATGCAGAAAGCTCTGCAGTAACTGACGGGGTCAACAAGTTAGCTTCGCTGTCCCTGTTTTGCACAAGAAGAAGCCCAGGCTCAGCGAGGCCAACTGACTTGCCTGGAGACACACATCTGACAGTGATACTGCTGGTGCTCAAACCTCCATCTTTTAACTCAAAATTCACTGCTTTCCACTTGTCAATTCTGTCTTCTTACATTTGGTTTAAAAACATATCCCCTTGGGACTTCCCCTGTGGCCCAGTGGTTAAGACTCCTCCTTGCAACGCAGGGAGCGTGGGTTTGATCCCTGGTCCGGAAACTAAGGGGCTTCCCAGGTGGCACTAGTCATAAAGAACCCATTTGTCAATGCAGGAGACATAAAGGACATGGGTTCGACCCCTGGGTCAGGAAGATCCCCTGGAGGATGGCATGGCAACCTACTCCGGTATTCTTGCCCGGAGAATCCCCACAGGCAGAGGAGCCTGTGGTACAGCCTGGGGTACAGTCCATAGAGTCAAAAAGAGTTGGACTAAAGCAACTTAGCATGCATGCACGGGGAACTAAGATCCCACATACTGTGGGGTGAGTCCAAAAAGTAAATAAATAAAATAAAACAAATATCTCCTTGATGACAGAGGATGTGACGGTTGGATCGCATCACCGATTCAATGGACATGGGTTTGGGTGGACTCTGGGAGTTGGTGATGGACAGGGAGGCCTGGTGTGCTGCAGTCCATGGGGTCACAAAGAGTCGAACACAACTGAGCGACTGAACTGACTGACTATTCTGTCTGTTTTTCCACCTCACTACGTATTTAAGACTTTGGTGTGCAAAAAGAAAACTAAAAATAGAATTACAAATGGAGTTTTCTTAAAACCTGCCTACCCACAAAAGGTTAGTGTCCCTGATCCCGGAGGAGCTCTTCGCAGAACCTTCTCGGTGTAGCCCCTCCTCCCCACTGGGTGTGCCCCTCGCCCTCTCACATAGGCTAGCAGCCTCGCCAGGATGCTCGTTGGAAACCAGAGTCTCAGCCCCAGCCCAGTCCTGCTGAATCAGAATCCGTGTTTTCACAAGACCTCTGGGCGCTGCCTGGGGACCTTAGCGCAACACCTCCTCTGTCAGCACAGCAGGTGCTGACAGAGAGCCAGATTTCCAGGATAACTAGGAGGGAAAGGTATGCTTTCAAAATCAGTTTCAAAACTCATCACTGAATTCTGTTTACTGGTCGGGTATAGGACATTTGAAACAATCCTGTTTCTAAAAGGACTGGTTTTCATACAATTGTTCACAGCCCCAGTCTGTGGTCTAACGTGAGATAGATCATGTAAGGACTTACAATTAATTATTATTTGGGAGCTTATTAGTCTTTTGAGGAGCATGCCCATGGTTTCCTCCCCCTGGATTGTAAATCCCCCACAGATGGGGTTGGGACAGAGTCTCGCATTAGGAGAGGGGTGAGTGGAGTTGCTTTGAGGAGGGGGCACCGCTGTGGGGATGAACCGCAGTCGCTGCAGGTTTGGCTCTCACCTGACCCCCAGATCCCCCAGACACGTGTGGGTTGTCACACTGTGGGAGAGACAAAGAGAAGACTCTCAGTCCCCACCCAGACACCTAGTCCAGCCCCGCAGACTGCAGCCTTCGCACCCCAAGGCTGGCCTGGGTCCATCACCCCATCAGCATCTGCCCCCGGTTCCCTGCAGGGACTGGGGGAGCTGTCCTCTCCCACCATCACCCACTTTCCAGCCTCTTCACACTCACCTCGGGTTTGTTTCCGCCACCGCTTCCAACCCTGCTCCCCGAGGAGTTGGGATTGTATCCCTACAAGGGAGAGCAAGAGTCTGTGTGGGGACTTCAAAGGACTTGGGAGGGCCCAGAGTTCCCGAAGTAGGGATTGATCCCATCCCCTCACCCTCTCCTGGAGCAGAGAGAGGGGAAGGGATCCCTAGAATCCTTACACAGGAGAAGCCACCATGATCAGAATTTCTAGTGTCCTAGATGTAGGGAAAGTGGGTGGTACAGGGAGTGGTAAGTTATGGCAGCTTACAGCACCTGGCTTGTTCTTGCCTGAGACCTTTCCCAGAACCCCAAGGAAGCCAGCTGTGCCCCTTCTCTGCAGGCCCCCTGGTCGGAGCTCCACCCTCATCTGGCTCCCAGGTCATGGTCCCCTCCTGACCCTCTCATCCCTCATGTAGGGACACTGTTATTAGCATCTACACCGCAGTTCTGTAAGTGTCCTTAAGTCTCCACATGTGGTGGTGTCCCCATCCTCCTGGGAGCTTCCCGAGTAAGTGTCATGTTTCCCTGGGCCCACCTCTCTGGCTCCATCCACCACCCCAGCTCTGGTCAGATTCACCAAGTAGACATGCCTGCAGGAGCAGAGGTTAGACAGGGGGCAGCATCCCCCGTCACCAAGTGGCAAGGGGCTAGGGTAAACACAGTAGGCAGGGCACCTTTTCTGCAAATTAGAGGGCACGTGTCAGCAGTACCTCCTGGTGGGGCTGGAATGTGGGCAACCCAAAATGTGGGGCCTGGAATGACAACCCCATTGACGCCAGCTACCCTGGGGCTGGCATCTTTCAGGAAGACGTTGGAGTGAGTGTCGTCAGCAGGGACCACCAGGGACCCCATCTCTGCCTGCAATAAATGAGTAGAACATACCCAGCTGGACCCAGAGCTGCCACTGCTGCCGCCACTGCTGCCTCCACCGCTGCCTCCACCGTGACTGCTGCTGCCGCCACTGCTGCTGCCACTACTGCCGCCACTGCTGCTGCTTCCCTGAGAGGAGGAAGAGACCAGCGTCAGTCACTTTAGTCCTGTCCGGCTCTGTGCGACCCCATGGACTGTAGCCTGCCAGGCTCCTCTGTCCATGGGATTCTCCAGGCAAGAAGACTGGAGCGAGTAGCCATTCCTTTCTCCAGGGGATCTTCCCCACCCAGGGATCCAACCCCCATCTCCCTCATTGCAGGCAGATTCTTCACCATCTGAGCCAGGAGACCAGAGTGAGGTCTAAAGATGAGAACACCAAGAGAGAGGGCTTTCCTCCCTCTCCCTCCTCCCTCAGGAGTATTTCCCACCCAGTTTGAGAGGAGTAGAGTTTCTCTGTCTCCTCCCCGTGGAGAAATGCTTCAGGTTGCCCCATCCTCTTACCTCAGAGTTGCTAGAGCTTCCACCTGAGCCAGGGGGGTTGGTGCACTGTGGAGGGAAGGGGACGGGTGGGTTTCCAGTTGAAGCTGTTCCCCCAGGCCGGGCTCTCTGGCATCCTTGGCTTGGCTTCCTGTCCCGGTGCATCTCCCCCCTCAAGCCCAGCTCACTCTTCTGAGCCTCATCCCCACGCCCATCTCTCCCCAGCCAGTCTGCCTCTTCCTTCCACTACTCCCCTGCCCGTCTTTCTCTCTGCTGTGTCTCTCCCAGTTTCTATCACGTGCATCCAGACACCTCTGCCTCTCCAGGCATTTCCTCTTACTTCTGTATTTCTGTTGCTGCTGCCTCTCACTGAGCCAGGTTGGGTTGCAGCTCCCTGCAGGAAGGGTGAGATGAGCTTGGGATCAGGAAGGACACGGGGAGGCACCAAGAGTATGGGCTTGAGGGGAGGGAGGGGGCAAGCATCAGGGTTGATGGTTACTTTACCTGAGGGTTGGCCCCCAGGTTGGATGGCCCTCTGTGGCCTCCCTGGCCCCAGGAGCCTCCCTGAGCAGTGGCTCCAAAGCGGCCACCTGAGCCTCCAGAGAACACATGGTCCGGGGTGTCCCCGGGGCCTCCAGGGCCGCCATGAGAGCCAGGGGTGCCATGGCCTCCGGATGGAGGCTGCCCATGGGTACCCTGCAAGAAGGACATGGCTGCGCTGAGTGTGTGTGACCTCCTCACTCTGGGATGGAGAAGGCAGGCAGAGCCGCTCAGACAGAGAGGAACCAGAGCAGGACACGTCTCCACAATATTTACAGAAAAATTCGCCATCCCCAGGCCTCCTCCCCTACCTCAAGCCATCCGGAGCAATTCTGGGCAGAAAGGGGCAGTGGGGGAGGGAGGCCTGACGTGGAAGGATCGCCACCGATGAGGAGGCATCCCTCCTTTCAACTGCGTCCCGGGATCCTCAGCCCAGCTGCCCATAGCCTCCCATTTCCGCAGCAGCCTTCCAGCCACTCACCCAAGCTCCGTTGCTGCCGGGCGTCCCCTGCCAGGAGCTGTGGGCAGGGTCCACTCCGTGTCCGATGATATTCTCAGCCTGTCTGCCAGCCTCGCTCCCAGTGTTTTCAAGAGCGTGGCTCGCTTCCTTAAGCTTGTGGGCAAGAGCATCCCCCAAGTGGGGGTCCCTGGCCTCCCTGATTCCCAAGCCTGCTTTCTCTCCAGTCCCTCGGTCAATGGCCTCCTCGACTCCGTGGATGACGGCTTCTCCCACCACGTGTCCAAGGGCCTCCCCCACCCCATGTCCAATGGCTTCCCCAATGTCTCCTCCGGCATCCTCCTCTCCACCCTGCAGCGGGCTAGCCTCCCCACTGCCCAGGAGCAGGAGCAGCAGGAGGCAGGCCAGAGACCCCTTTAGCTTCATCTCTGCCGCACTTCCTGTCTCCTGAGTTTCTTCTTTCCACCCAGGTTCCCTTTCGAGCCCTGTCGCTTCCCCAGCGTCTGCCGGCCCTCCTCCCTTCTCTCTTTCCTTCTGGCTTCTTGTTCGCCCTCCCTCTGGGTCTGCAGCCTGCTCTCTCCCTCCCCAGATGCCCTTGTCTTCCCAAAGTCCTCCTCCACGCCACTACTCCTTATAGTGTAGCTGCGAGAAGGTGGCAGGGCTGGGCAGTTCAGGGTCCCTCCCCACAGTGACTCAGATCCAACCACCTGATAGGGTAATGAACTGTAATTGTGAGTCTGAGTGTCTGTGTCGAAACAGAGAGGGAGTCCGTGCATCAGGGAGGGAGGAAGAAATGGGATGAGTTCAGTGCCAAAGTGTTCTGATTTCCTAACCCCAGGAATTTGGGGCGCGGGGTGGGGGCATCTGGGGAGCTAGGCTGGTGGTGCCTCCTAAAGGTGGTGGGGTGCAGGGGACCTAGGAGGGAGGAATCAGGCAGGACATCAAAAGAGGGAGCGAGGGTAAGGAACCCAGTGGAACAGGACCGGTCCTAGGTGTAAGCGAGCCTGGATCCGGGGCACCGTAATGGGCGCTGGTGACCTTCGCCAGTCTTCCTGTTTCCTGTCTCGCTCCCCGCCCCATACTGCCACCTACAGGAGAGAGCCTGACACTGCCGCGCCTTTCAGCCACAGAGAGCCTGGGACCCCAGGCATCAGTCGGGTAGGGAAGAAGCCGCGACCCCTAGATTGGTCATCAGGGCGTGTCAGTTAGCATCTGGGCTGAGAAACCTGGGTGTGGAGCAGGGGAGCTGGGCGGGCCAGCCACCCCCAGGGAACGAGTGGGAGGGAAAGACCTAGGGAGGGTGCAGCTGACCCAGGCACCTATCCTGTTTGCCAGGCCTGACCCAGGCACCTATCCTGTTTGCCAGGCCTGGAGGGGGCACGTGTGTGAGCTCACAGCCTGCTGTGAGGGCTGGGACTACACCAGCTCACCCCACCCCGCCCCCAGCTGCTCCCCCAACGAGCCGGAGCAGCACTGGCGAGGGAGAAGGGGTCAGCACAGTGGTCCTCTCCCCTGGGCCCAGCTCAGGGTGCAGAACTGGAGCATCCTCCGGAGGGCTCATGGCTCGCTGCTCAGCCAGTGTGGCCACTTCTCCCACTCCCGTGAACCCCAGGTCCTCCCGTTTCGCACTGCCTTGTATTGCTGGGACTCATCGCCCAGTTAGGAGGGGCCAGTTTCCACCTGCCTTTCTCAATGTCTCTCAGTCAGTCTCTCTCCACCCCAGCACCCGCACCCCAACTTGTAACATCCATCACCTCTCACGATGTAAACACCGCCTGTCCTCTGCTTCTCCTTCCTACTTCCCTATTTTTCCATCGTTGACTCTTTAATGATAATAATAGTGGAGATGGTAATACAATAGTAGTCGTCGTCGTCTTCGTGGCTGCAGTTGATCCACGGCTTTGTATGTGCCCCGCACTGGACTAAGAGCTTTAAGGCTCAGACAGCCCTGGAAGAATCGGTCCTATCATTACCCCCACTTAGGGGCAGAGAACTTGGTGTTCAGAAGGACATTAAGCGTGCAATAGTGGCAAAGCCCAGCCCAGGCTGGCTCGCTCCTGAGCCTGCTTCCCAGCGTACTCTGTCTTCTTGATGCCTGAGACCCTCCCCTGGTTTTCAGAACCTTCATTCTTCTCTGGGTAAAATTGGTTTGGGTTTTGCTCAGGGGTCCTGTGAGGGTCAGAGAGCAAGAGCAAATCTGAGGCCTCCGGGGTTAGTGATGGACAGCCCACACCACCCCCCACCCCCACAGGACCTTGGGGCAGGAGTCTTGCCACTTCCAAGACTCCTTCCCACACTTCCCTCATGGGACATCCTCACCATGGCATAAAGCTGCCCTGATCCTTCTTCTTTCTTCTTTCTCTCTCTTTTTTGAGGCCAGCTTACCTTCTTAAGTATATTTTAAGAGAATACTTTATATCACTACTCTAAGTAGAAAGCCAGGATCACTGGCCCATAAATACAAAGTACAAAAAAACAAAGTAAGAAGCAAGCAATTGTATTACATTATATCTGGAGACAGTTCCTGTATCCTCTTGTTTAAAAAAAAAAAAAACAGATTAGCACATCTGAGAGAGGTGTTCTGAGCCCACCAGCACAGAAATGGAGTCTCCTTCTTCACCTAATCAGAAAGTTTCTTAAACATTTTAAGAAAACAGTGAAGTTTCTCACTTTTTGATTCAGACTTATTCAAAGCCCTGTTCACAAGCCATCTAAATTCTCCCATGCCACCAGTAGTCCCATTTCTACCTTCTGGAAAAATACTGCCCGCAGACATCTGTGGACCTGAGGGGTCACTTCGAATCAGTCTGAAGGCATGTTTATTAAATACCTGTTGTGTATTAAATACCTGTTGGGTATTTAATAAACAGAAGACTAGGTGCTTTCACATGAATGACCTCATTTAGTCCCCACTATAATCTCGAGAGATAGATATTATTCCAATTTTACAGATGAGGTAACTGAGGTCGTGAGCTGTTTAACACACATACAAAATCATATACAAGACCATGGCAAAATGGAGCTGTCAGAATCTGACCTAGATCTGACTCCAAACAGCCTTTTCTCCTACAGCTCCATGCCTCTTCTCTTCTTTTATGCATAACAGTATCCACAAATCTGATATGCCTAGACTCTCTGATCTCAGCTTTTCTCTCTAATTCACTACTTCATTCATTCAACAAGTGTTTATTGAGTGCTTTCTCTGTGTCATGCCTGTTCTAGGCATGGAGTACAGCATGGAACAAGATCATGAAAACCTCCCTCCTTGGGGAACTCACTTTCACTGAGGGGAGATTGGACAATGAACATATCAGGTGATGAAGAGTCTTATAAAGAAAGATACAAGGGGGTGAGGAAATAGACAAGATGGAGTTTGGGGTTTGTTTTAGTTTGGAGTTTTTTGTTTTCTTGGCTGTGCCTCCTGGCTGGCAGGATCTTAGTTCCCCAACCAGGGATTGAACCCAGGTCACAGCAGTGAAAATGCAGAGTCCTAACCACTGGCCACCAGGGAACCCCCTCATAGTGTTTTAAATAGCGTGGTCAGGAAAAGGCTCTTTGAGGTGTGATGTATGACCCAAGACTGAAAAGAATTGGGAGTGAGCCATGAGAGTATCTGGAACCTGGGGACTCCAAGCAGAGAAAATAGGCAAAGGCCCTGAGGCGGGAGCCTGCTTATTCTGTTTGAGGACCACTGCGGCTGCTGCAGAGGGGAAATGTGAGCGGTTGAAGCCAGACACAACCAGGCCAGACTGTGGAACTTTGGGGACTATGGTGAGGACTTTGACTCCTAATGAGGTAGAACCAGCCAAGGGCTGCGAACCAAGGAAGGTTGTGACCTGATTCAGATGTTTAACTGAGCAACAGACTGGGGTGGGCGTGGGTCTGAGGTGTAAAGAGGCCAGGGAGGAGGCTTCGGGGGGAGGCCGGAGGCCGGACTCAAGGATGGAGTGGACATGGGGCTCAGGGCTCGGTGGTAACTCTGCTCCCCTCTGCGGGGTCCTGGGCCTCAGACTGGTGGCTGCTGGCTCACCTATCCTGTCCTGGAGCCCATGCTCAAATCCTGACTTGATTACTAACTTACTGCCAGAGGGGTGGATACAAGGATGACACAAGGTAACAGGCGCAAAGAGCTTAGGACGGTGCCTGGCGCATAAGAATACTCGAAATATGTTCTTGCTAGTGTCAGACACATCACTGCTGTTGGAATACTTTTCTGGCAGTTGTTTAATTTTGAGACACATGCACAGGCACAGGTACCCCCTGAATGGGCCAAAGGCAGAAATTTACTTTTAAAGAGGACTTATTTGGGGAATTCCCTAGCAGTCCAGTGGTTAGGACTCCCCACTTCCACTGTGGGGGTCACAGGTTCAATCTCTGGTCCAGGAACTAAGATCCCACAAGCAATGTGCTTCCCACTCCCCCACCCCCAAAAAGAAGCAACTTGGTACGGGGAACTTATTTAAAGTAGCCCTTCCCCACCCAGGGTCACAGGGAAGCCCGCCGCCGCCCCTCGAGCAGAGATGCCCGACAGGAAAGTGCTTGGGTCAAGGAGCCAGCCATCACTGCCTACTAGCTGGGTGGCCTCCATCAACTCTCTCCCTTCTCTGAGCCTCGGCTTCAGCGTCTCTAAGGGGGTGTTTGTGGGACCCGCCTCAGGGGAGGTTATGAGGGTGACTGAATCATGTCTGTAAATGCTGAGTCCAGAATGAACACCTAATAAAAGCTGGAGGTGACGGTCCCACCCAGTCTCCTCTCCCTGTTCTTCCACAGCCTCCGCAACTGGCCTCCTCTCTTTCTGACTCCCTTGCCTGACTCTCCCTGTCTGACCCAGCTTTGGGCTTCTTGCTTATACATCCCAAGTCTGCTCCAGCCGGTAGCCTCCCCTCTACTAATTGCCAGACACCTGGGCCTGGCCTCGACCCCTCTTCCGGAACCTCTTAGTCTAGGGGAAATGGATATGAAACAGGTAAGGAGACAATTGCACNTTGGGCTTCTTGCTTATACATCCCAAGTCTGCTCCAGCCGGTAGCCTCCCCTCTACTAATTGCCAGACACCTGGGCCTGGCCTCGACCCCTCTTCCGGAACCTCTTAGTCTAGGGGAAATGGATATGAAACAGGTAAGGAGATAATTGCACGCTTCCCAGGTGGCTCAGTGGATAAAGAATCTGCCTGCAGTGCAGAAAATGTGGGTTCAATCCCTGGGTTGGGAAGATCGCCTGGAGAAGGGCATGGCAACCCACTCCAATATTCTTGCCTGGAGAATCCCCATGAACAGAGGCAGCTGGCAGGCTACAGTCCATTGGGTCACAAAGCGTTGGACACGACTGAAGCGACTGAGCATGCACACGCACACACAAGTATGTAATTACAGTTTGGCGCAACACCTTGAAGACCAGGATCAGTACACTATGGGAGAGTATCAGAGATAGCCCTTTGTTCAGACAGGGAGGCCGGAAAGGACAGATAGGCAGGGCGAACGTCCCTAGCAGAGGAAGCAGAGCCTGCCAGGCCTCGAGGCAGGACTCAGCCATGCCTCTTGTAATCTTCAGATGTGGCTCAACTCCTGTCTTCCAGAAGCCTCCCAGGACTGACCCCCAGCTTTATCCTATATCTCTTTGGCACTTTCAGGAGCTCCATTCAAGCCAACCTAGCAAGAAAATGGGGGCAAATAGAATCAACGAAAGCTTTTACTTTCTGAAAGAATGATTCCCCACTCAGAAGGGGTTCTTCCAGACCAGGTGAAAGGATGTTCAATACAGAATAGACCCTCTGTTCCCACATGTGTAGGAAACATGTGGTATTGAGTTGGCCAAAAAGTTCGTTTGGTTAGTGAATAGTTGTTCAATAAAGTCCTTGTGAAAATGAAAAATGTGTCTTTTATTGTTACTTAAAACCAAATGAACTTTTTGGCCAACCCAATAGAAATGAATGCTTCTGTCTATTGAAATGCCAGAAACAAAGCTCTGGGATTTACTTTGAAAAGCATCAAAAATGTATCAGTACCCGAGCAGAAGGATCAGGGGAAGGGACGGTTAGGGAGTTTGGGATGGACATGTATACACTGCTATATTTAAAATGTATAACCAACAAGGACCTACTGTATAGCAAAAGAAGAAAAAGTATCAATACATGGCTAGATGGCTTGGTGTGTGTTGAGTGGAAATGTGATAAAGCAAGCATAGTCATATGTTCATGGTGGAATCCAAGTGGTGAGGATGCAGGCATCCACTGTAAAATTCTTTCATTTTTGCACTTAAGATATTGCCAGGGAAGAAAAGGAGCATATGTTGTTTAAGCAGGGACTTCCCTGGTGGTCCGGTGGCTGGGACTCTGCGCTTCCACTGCTGGGGGCCTGGGTTCTATCTCTGGTTGGGGAGGGAGCAAGGCCAAAAAAAAACAATAAATAATAAAATAAAATAGTGGTATTCTACAAACAAGGAAAAACACAGAGAATATGAAGTGTAAGAACATTACCTTTACTGTGCATGTGAGGCCCCTCTGTCCCTGGTGCGTCACTTAGTCCTTATTGATACATCATTTTGTATTTGTTTTCAAATGCTGTTTGTGCTTTGTGCTTCATCACTCAGGTGTGCCCAGTTGCTCCGGGCTTTGAGCCATCCACAGATCTGAAGACGGACGCAGCCTTGTGTCTCACCATTCCTCTCAGAAAGAGGCCTCCCTCCTGTCCTCAGGGTGCCTTCCCCCGAGCCCTCTGTGGTCCTACCAGAGAGAAGGCCTCACACGTGTACCTCCTTCCTCTCTCCTTATTCACTGAGTCCCCTCCCTACTGATACTAAACAGCAAGAGGACTTCCGTGGTGGTACAGTGGATAAGAATCTGCCTGCCAATGCAGGGGATACAGGTTTGATCCCTGGTCCTCAAAAAAGTCCAACAAGCCGCAGAGCAGCCAAGCCCATGCGCCACAACTACTGAGGCGGTGCCCTAGAGCCCAGGAGCCACAACTATTTAGCCCATGAACTGCACCTCCGGAAGCTGGCACACCCTAGAGCCTGTGCTCTGGAAACAAGAGAAGCCACTGCAATGAGAAGCCCACCCATCATGATGAGAGAATAGCCCCCACTCTCCACAACGAGAGAGAGCCTGCTCGAAGCAACAAAGACCCAGTGCAACCAAAAATAAAATATTTTTAAAATGTTAAAAAAAAATAAACAGCAAAAGACCTCTGGGTTTTCAGAATATCCTTTGTGGCTGGTTCTCCCTCCATTTGTTGTGTGACTTTGGTCGTGTTTCTTAACTTGCCTGAACCTCCGTGTGATTTTTTATAAAATGGGGCAATAGCAGTATCTCTTACCTAACTGGTCAATTGAGAGGATTCGCTGAGATCATGCATATAATGCACGGGGAGCCTAGCATGCCTTAATTACACAATACACACAGGTTACTATTGGTATTCCTTTGGTGCCACACCCCTAAATGAGGATGCTAACTTTTTGGGCTCCACCAAGGTTCCTGCCATTTTTGCCCCGGGTGCTCCTGCCCCCACTACTGGCCCAGAGGGGCTTTTCCTGCATGGATTTCCTCCCGGTGCCAAGCACAAACTTTGCAGTAGTGAAGCATAACCTGTCCCTGTAACCACCCTCTTCCATCAGATCAGCCCGAAATCTCCAGCTCCACCCATCCTGTGCCTCAGACTCCCAGCTCCTCCAGCAAAGTAGAAAGAGGAGGAAAGACAAGCCTCCTCCCACATATTCCCCGCTTAGGGAGCACAGCGGACCATGAGGTTACACAGTGTGTTGTATTTATTCACAAGTCTCAGTACTGACCCCTTAAGGGACTAGAAATCCACCCTCCCCCTTCCCTTCCCCACCCCCCANGCTCCTTCAGGTCACTTCAGCGGATATGACAATAGGAACGTCAGTCTCTTCAACCAGGTCAGTTCATCAGCTTAGGGAATGATGCTGGTGACGCTCTGGAGGAGAGAAGGAAAAAGGGAGTGGATACAGAGTCCTGCACCCTCACACCCCCTAGAGAGATGAAAGGAAGCCTAGCTACTCCAGCCAGGAATTGCTTCTGTTCCAGGGACTATCTTAAGGAAGGCGGCACCTAGACTCAGGAAGAACTGGGAGCCGGTCCACCCAGACACAGGTGCCAGGAGCCTCAGCAGAGACTGAGAAGCCTTGTCTGCTTTGCCTGAGAGGATCCTCCACCACCTCCAGAGCCCGGGAATAAACATGGGTGTGTCTCTGAGTTTCTGGCATAGTCTTAGGGCTGTTCCACACCCTCACCCATTGGATCCAGTTTCAGGCCGCTGAATGTACTGAGCACAGACTTCTCTTTGGGTCTAGAGGGAGGCCCAGGATCCCAGAGGAGCCTTTAGCCTGGTGGGGGGTGTGGGTGGGGATGGGGAGGGACTTGCTGTCCACCAGGGACAGGGCTGGGGTTCCCGCCACCCAGGATGTTGCCACAAGACAGCAGGGACAAGGCAGCCAAGGAAGTCACAGTGAAGGGAGGGGGTGTGACAGGAGATGCCAAGGCGGGTGGTGATGGGCACGCGCAGGAAGGTTTCGGCAGCCCCCTCCCCCCAGCTCCTAGATGCATAGGGATGCCTGGAGGTCTCTTCTGCTTGGATGGGAATGGAAAGAGCCCAAAAGGTGAGCGCAGGATGTGAAGGGCAGAGAGCAGGGAGGTAAGGCAGACCAGAGCTGGGAAACAGGTTGGCTGGCCTCTGCAGAGCCTGAGTGTCTGTCTGCAGTGCAGCTCTCAACGAACGGGTGATGGGAGGGGGTATGGGAACGTCTCCCAGAAACCACCTGGGCACTCACCTTCCACAGGACTGACAAGGCCATGAAGGGCTTGTTGACCGAAGCCTGAAATTCAAGGACAAGAGAGTCAGTCCCCAGCATCTGTCCCACCTGCCACCCGAGGAGAGCCTCCGCACCCTGCACACCACCCTCCAAGTCCACGCTGTGTGCTCGAGACTTACTCCAGATGTTAAGGTTGTGGTTGCGGCCCCTCCGTGCTGGGCGGTGGATCCGCCTGGATGACCATTCTGTGGACAAAGCCCAGACTGTCATTACAACCCCCCAGACCTTGAGGGTCTCCCAATTTCCTTTTCCCCGGTGGTCCGTTTCCCCTCGGGTGACTGGGGCTGGGGTGGGAGGCATAAGATCACCCGCCGACCCATACTGTCCAGGAAGAAAACCCGAAGCCCACGCGGCTGTGGGAATTCCTTGAGAGATGGGAGGAGAAGCCAGGAACCATGTCTGCCCTTACTGGTCAGTCTTCCCTCAATTCCCTTTTGTTCTGGTTAATGAGATGTTCTTAGTCACTAAGAAGGGGCCCCACTGGAAAGGGAGCCCAGAGGAGCCACACAAATACCAGGACCATAGTTTAACCTCCGCCCTGACTTCTAACACACTCGTCTACACACACTGCAGCTTGATCATTAACTCGGGTTGATTCCTATCCTGAATCCTCCCCAGACTCTCAGCAGTGCCTCCGCCTCTGCACTGCTGCTGCTAGCCTTGAATTCCCAAACAAACCACCCTCTCTTGGGCTCTATTCAGTGAATCCTGGCATCTGACTCACAGCCCTCTCCCTTACCCTGCACACTTTCAACATAGTTCCTTTCTCTGCACCCACCCATCCCTGGCTCCGTGGCTGGCAGCTTTCGAGGCCTGGGCCAGTCTGCAAGCTGGTGTCCCAAGACCCCGCATGGAGAGTGGGGAGTGGGGAACTGGGGCAGGCAGGGGTCAGCCTTCTCTTGTTCCTCCTTGGTGCCCGTAATGCCGCCGGTGGTGCAGCCTGCCTCCTGGTATGTGTCCCCTCTACCTAAGTGGGGACCAGAAATCCCCCAGGAAGTCTCCCTGGTGATCCAGTGGTTAAGACTCCGAACTTCCAATGCAGGAGGTGGGACTTGGATCCCCGGTTGGGAACTAAGATCCCATATGCCACATGACTATGCTTGCTATGCTTAGCTGCTCCGTCATGTCCAACTCTTTGTAATCCCACAGACTGTAACCCACCAGGCTCCTCTGTCCATGGGGATTCTCCAGGCAAGAATACTGGAGTGGGTTGTCAAGCCCTCTTCCAGGGGATCTTCCCAACCCAGGGATCGAACTCAGGTCTTTGGTCTTGCAGGCAAATTCTTTACCATCTGAGCCACCAGAGAAGCCCATGCTACATGGCATGGAGAAAGAAAGAAACGAAGGAAGGAAGAAAGGAAGAAAGATCCTCTGGAAGGCCTCCTCTGACAGGGCAGTGTGGAGGAAGAGAAAGAAGCCTAACTTGCGATTCACCAAGGCTGTATGCTAGCCACGTGACCTTGGCAAGTCCCTCAAACCTCGCTGAGCTTCTGGTTCCTTATCTGAGAATCAGGGAGTCAGCACCCTTACCCTGACTACCTCAGAGGCTTGCTATGAAAATTAAACAGAGGGGACTTATCTCCCAATGCTAGTCCTCAAGCTCATGCTGACGTCCTGGGTTTTCTCAACACTCGTTCTCTTTGCTCCATAATAGAGCTTGGCCTCAGTAACTGCTTCCTGTTCCCCAGGGGAGACTGTGCTCCTCCCTACCGATCACCTTCACTGGGAGAGTAGCTCCCTGGAGGTGGGGCTGGAGTACCATCCACACTCTCTGATACAGGGCTTTGCAGATAAAACGGCTTAATCCGTCTGACTGGTTGGCCACCAGCTCCTTTGTAAGGGAGATGGAGAGTGGGAAGACCAAGCTTCCCCCAAGTTTAGCCGCCCAAGCTCCTTTCACCAAATGATGGTGACGAGGGCTCCCCAAATGTCCAAAGGGTTGAACCTCTCCCTCCCCCAACACCCTTCTCCCCATTTCCCCACCCCTGTTCACCTACATTCAGCAGCTGGTTGGCCTCCTTGCCGGCTTGGTTGACCCCATTATGAACATTCCCGGCCTGGCCTGCAGCATGGTGGACACCTTGGCCAAGTTTCTCCGCTTCCTTTCCAGCCTGGCCAGCAGCATGGTTGACCCCGTGGCCCAATTTCTCTGCCTCCTTGCCGGCCTGGTTGACCCCATCATGGACCCCTTGAGCCACTTTACCCGCCTCCTTTCCAGCCTGGTCAACGGCATGGTGGACTCCCTGACCAAACTTTTCTGCCTCCTTCCCGGCCTGATTCACTCCATGTTGGACCCCCTGGACTATTTTTTCTCCCTCTTTCCCAGCCTGCCCAGCAGCATGGTGGACCCCCTGGCCAAACTTCTCTGCCTCTTTCCCAGCCTGCCCAGCAGCATGGTGGACCCCCTGGCCAAACTTTTCTGCCTCGCTCCCAGCCTGCCCGGCAGCATGGTGGGCCCCCTGGCCAAACCTCCCTGCATCACTTCCCGCCTGGTTGGCCCCATGATGGACCCCCTGAGTCACTTTGTCTGCCTCCTTCCCAACCTGTCCAGCAGCATGGTTGACCCCATGAGCAAGCTTCTCTGCTTCCTTTCCTGTGTGTCCGATGCCATTGTTGATTCCATGGGCTACCTTGTCCAAGCCGTGGTTGAGCCCCTGGATGCCCTTGTCCAGCTCCTTGCCGGCCTGGTTCCCCACACTGCTGAGTCCATTAAAAACTTTCTCCACTTCCCTTCCAGCTTGAGTGATTCCATTGTTGATGCCTTCCAGGGCCTTGTCCACCTCTCTCTCTGCATTGCTCAGCCCTCGGTTGATCCCTTCAATGACCTTCTCAATGGGGTCATTGTTGGCCGCCCATCCAGGCAGGGCCCCCAGTAGCAGCAGGAGGGAGCAGGAGCTGAGCAAACTGGCAAGATGCATATTGTTGGGCAAGCGGGGAGGATGCAGAGAAGAGCCAGGGAGGCAAAGCTGCTATTTATCCTCTGCCTCCCTTGCTCTTCTCCACCCCTCATGACTCAATTACCCTGTGAGGTACTTAGTCCCCAGTCAGGGAGGTATTTCCCAGGGAGATCTGGGGTTGAGCAATGAGAAGAGGAGGAAGAGAGGGTGAGTCATGAATGGAGAAGACTCACGCGGCATCTTTGCTCCTTGCCCAGCTCGCGCCCTCCACCCCAGAGCCCAGATGTCTGTCCTTTCAATCACCTGCTCTTTTCATTCCTCAGTTACTATCCAGGCTTCATCTCTCCCAACCCCATCTTCAGTCACCCTCCATCCCTAGGACCCTGGCTGGTTCTTCAGCATCTTCACTCCTCTCAGGGACCTAAGGATCCACCTTTCCCAGCAACAAGAGTCTGAAAAGATGGGGAGCAGGGGCCAGAAGCACCCCCCAGGAAGTGGAAGCAATCATTAGACCTTGCTCTGATTGTTGCTTGTTGACCCCCGTCCCCCGCACTTACTATGCTCCGGCCACACAGGTCTTCTCTTTGGTCCTCAAACACACCAAGCTCATTGCTGCCTCATGCCCTTGACATTTGCTCTTCTCTCTGCCTGGAATGAAGAACTCAGATTTTCACAGGCTGGATTCCTCCTCACTCTCTTCTTGCCTCAGATGTCACCTTCTCAAAACACCCTTCCCTGGCCCTCCCCCAGTTATACTCTGTAATGCCATCCTTTACTTTTTATAGCTCTTACCACAATCCGAAATTATTTTTTATTGTCTGTCTCACCTATCAGATTGTACGCTTCCCAGGTGGCGCAGTGGTAAAGAACCCGCCTGCCAATGCAGGAGATCTCGGTTCGATCCCTGGGCTGGGAAGATCCCCTGGAGGAGGGCATGGCAACCCACTCCAGTATTCTTGCCTGCTGAATCCCCATGGACAGAGGAGCCTGGGGGGCTACAGTCCATGGGATCGCAAAGAGTCAGACATGACTGAGCACATACACCGCCCCCCCCCACACACACACCCCTATCAGTTTGTAGACTTTCAGAGGGCCTTTGTCTGTGTTGGTCATGCTACATCCTGAGCTTCAAGAACATTTAGTAAACATTTGTAGGTTGAACAATGGATGGATTAGAACACACCAGGGGATGAGAGTCCAGGCCTGAGCCTGGGTCTCAGAACATGAAGGAGGGAAGTTTGTATGCGTCCCCAGAACAGCATCAGGTCCCTTGGTGAGGGTGGCAGATTTTGGAACCAGAAACACATTCTTGCCCTACCTCCCAGCCCTTGGGCAAGGGCAGAGGACTGATTGCCATGAGCTGGGACAGGACGCAGTGTCTCTTGAAAAGCCGGTTGAGGCAGCCACAGGGAGGAGCCGAAGACCCAGGGCAGCAGGAGTCAGTCAGCCAGAACCTGGGCTGGGGGCCAGGAGCTCATCCCTTCTTCCCTCCTCCCCCTGAGGCCTCCTAAGTCCCAACCTGAAGTCCCAAGTGTTGACATACTGGCAAGGGCTGGAGACAGAAACAGCTGAGAGTTTGGCCTCGGTGTGGAGCAGGACATCAGAGTGAAGGGCAGGGGGTGATGGTAGGCCTGTCCTTGGTGGGTCTGTAGAGCTGGTTCAGAGGGACTAGAAGGATGACAGCCAGTGGGTGAATACAGTTGGGTGCCAGGGTGAAAGACATTTGGGTTTTGGTGCCAAGGGGAGAGCCTGGGAGAGGGGGCGAAGGTGGGTCTACAGGTGGGCAGCCCAAGCACGAAGGAATGTGCTGGGTGTGAGCAGGTGGGGGCAGCAGAGCTATGCATGTGGGTGCCCAGGTGTGGCAACAATCTGCACGTGTTTTCAGGCTTTGCTTAACAAGGGCGACAAGATCCACTCCCCCCGGAGGACCCAGGGCCCCATTTCAGATCCAGGCATCCAGACCCAGAAAGCCAGGGGGTTCTGCCTTCTCTAGGTTCTGCCCATGGACCATGATTAATTGTGCCACTGCTCCAAGCTTGTGCTCACCAAGTGGGTTTCACAGTCCAAGGATATAGTCAAATCTCTGGGCAACCTCAGGTGTTGCTTTCCTGCCCTTGTCCAGCACCAGAATGAGGGAGTTTCCCGGGCCGGGAGGTTGCTAGGTGGGGAAGGGTGAGCTTCAGAATCTTAATCTGCCCCGAGATTGAAAGGTGGAGTTTCTCTTTCAGAAATGTACTTGGTTCCTCGCCCCGCCCCATCCTACCATCTTCTGTCAGTCTCCATCCTTCCCTTCAGTGCGTAGTTCTCATTGTTGTCGTTCAGTCACTCAGTCACGTCCGACTCTTTGCGACCCCATGGACTGCAACACATCAGGCTTCCCTGTTCTTCACTATCTTTGCTCAAACGCATACCCATTGAGTTGGAGATGCCATCCAACCATCTCGTCCTCTGTCACCCCCTTCTCCACCTGCCCTCAATCCTTCCCAGCATCAGGGTATTTTCCAGTGAGTCGGCTCTTTGCATCAGGTGGCCAAAGTATTGGAGCTTCAGCATCAATCTATTCAATGAATAGTCAGGGTTGATTTCCTTTAGGACTGACTGGTTTGATCTCCTTGCTTTCCAAGGGACTCTCAAGAGTCTTCTCCAACACCACAGTTCGAAAGCATCAATTCTTTGTGCTCAACCTTCTTTATAGTCCAACTCTCACATCTGTACATGACTACTGGAAAAACCATTCATTCTTACTTGGACTATTTAACTCAGGACTTTGGCATCTATCTCCATATATGAGATTAACCTGGAGTTGTCCTTTCTCTGCTGTTTCCTAGAGTGGTAGTGGAGGTTTCAGGGGCTGAGCTGTCACAGCATCCCCACAGCACTCCCACGAAGTGTGCAATGTGGGTACACAGAGTGTGCCTGCCACTCCATGGGGCCTCAGAGCCCAGGCCCTACTCAGAGCCTCTCAGCACAGGAGCTGCCACTAGGCTTCCCAGCTCCACTTAGGCTCTGCACTAGGTCCTGTAGAATGGCAAGTATTTGTTCCCAGGGCCTCAGCACATCTTGCCCATAAAATCATTGGGATCTGAGTCACCCTTTGGAAGGATAGATCTTAACTCCTTGTTTCTTCTCTTGTTATTGGCCTATGCAGATTTGCCATTTCCCTTCTTTTTTTTTTTTTTTGGTGGTGCTGGGTCTGTGTCGCTGGGCATGTGTTTTCTCTAGTTGCAGTGTCCAGGCTTTTCATTGTGGTGACTTCTCTAGTTGTGGAGCTCAATATCCAGGGCTTGTGGGCTTCGGTAGTTACTGTGCACAATAGTTGCAGTGCTCGGGCTTAATTGGCCCGAGGCTTGTGGGATCTTCCCAGACCAGGGAAGTCCCGCCATTTCTTTTTATACCAGTTTTGATCCCTCATATTTTCTAAGAACATTTTAACTGCATCTAGTTTTTCATATCTATTATTGCAAAGTCATACAAAATCAGTCCCTTTTCAGTCCCGGTTTTATTTGTACACACTTTTCCTCCACCTTGCTATACATGTTAAATCCGGCACCCCCCACCTCTGTTCTGTTTTTTGGTCTGGGTTTGTTGACATCTCCCCAACTGTTCACTCAACTTATTTTCAGTTTCACCTTTCCCATCCAAGCAGGAAGGCCTCACCCTTGCTCTGTCTCATGGCAGATGCTTAGCAAACTGAGTCCTTACGGAGGTTAGGGGAAGGAAGAGGTTATGTCATTCTGCCCTTTCTTGCTTCCACACCTCTCTCTGGGATGATGACTCCCTCCTGGCCCAAATCCCCCCTAAATCTTGGTCACATTTGTGTGTCAACTGGCCCTACAGGTGAAGGTACCTGTCTGTGAGTCACAGATGAGCAAGCAAGCCCCCACACCCCACACTTTGGGGGAAGGGAGCCATCTGTCCTTGTGTTACTCCCAGAATGTTTGATGAAAGCCTGCTTTGTGTCAGGCACAGGAGCTGGAGGACCAGTGATGAACAAAACAGAAAACAATGGGCCCAACAGGGAGACAATGAACAGGTAAATGAGTAACTGTATCATGGTAAACTAAATATATGAAAAGCCATCAGGAAAAGAACAACATGTGTGAGAGGATAGGACTCAAGTTTGGGCATCAGAAGAAACCTCAGGAGGTTACATTTATTCATTCATTCTGGAATTATTTTTTGAGCGAGCACCTTTTAAGTACCATTCTTCTAGTCAATGGGATATAAAAGTGACAAAGGCAGGCAAGGCCTCTAATGGGCAGAGACAATTTGCAAGAAAAAAATGGATAAATAAAATGATCTTTAGAGAGAGACACATGCTTAGAGGAAAATAAAATTATAGAGTATAACCCTAGAGCAGTTGGGCACATTTTCACATGTAACCCAGGATGGGAAGTCAAACAAGGATTCCTGGATGACGGGTAGATGGAGGGAGTAATGGTCATGGCAGATAGTGGCTGAGAAAGGAGTGAACTTTAGATGTGGAGTCAGGAGGAACTCTCTTAGAGCGTGGCACCTGAGGGAAACCAAGAGGCTGCCAAGGGAAGAACTTGAATGAATACCAGAATGAATGAATAAATACAGGACTTCCAAGCAAAAAGAAATAGCGAGGATAACTATTCAGAAGAGGGTCCAGAAGAGCATAGAGCCTGTGTGCCCAAGGAGAAGAACAGAACAGATAAAGGGCTTTGAAGGCCAGTGCAAAATGTTGGATTCCATTGAGACACCAGAGCTGGTCTTGGAAGGGTGGTACACGGCCGCAGCCACGTGCCTGGACTGGGACTGGGCCTTCACGCCGCCTCCTCTGTGACGTCACAGGTGACGTCTCGGTAAGACTTCCCAGTCCCTCCAGCCCCGAGCCCCGTCAAGCAGTAACATCGCGGAAAGTGCCAGAGCGGCTGGCTGGGCCAAGAAACCTTAGGAGGCCATGTCGAAACGCGACATCGTCCTCACCAATGTCACCGTTGTCCAGCTGCTGCGACCGCCGTGCCCGGGTGAGGGAGGCGGTGGAGCGACCCCAGGGAGGGAAGAAAGGGCGGTGGGTCCGAGCTCCTGCTGGCGGGAGGAGCCCCAGTAGTGTCCACCAAGACCCAGGAAAGGAGGCGCGGGGTGAGGCACCACTTGCCGGTCGGGGCTCTTCCATCCAGAGCCGCTGCCCTCGCTCCCCGCAGCCCCACCCTCCTCACCACCTGGTT